GTAAATATATAATATATATTATAATATTAATATATTATTCACGCTTAAGCTCTGTACCTTTACATATATAATGACGGACGTAGGTACCTATTGCACACCCACCCATACATCTACATTGATGTTTAAAATTAAATCAAATTGTTTTGACAGCGGTCTATGATAATTTATATCGTGTTCGTCCTGATAAAAACAATATGTGAAACGTAAAAAAATTACGCCATTTCATTGTGAAAATCGGCTCACGTCATATACATAAATAGTCACCGATGCAGTATAATACACATCATAATAGTATATTGGTGTGTATAAATATATATACATTGTATACACGTCTTATACAGCAGGTATGCCAGTGGAATAACTCGTGACAAGTGGCGGAGGAGGAGAATAACGATGATGACGAGAACGCAGGGGAAAAAACCGTTTGTACAATGATTATCACAATAATATTATATTATATCCGCGAGAATGTCCCGCCGAGAACGGGCTTCGAGCTCTCCGCTACCCGACTCGCGCAAGAGGCCTCACAGTGGCCTACTGGCTATTACAGCTATATATACGGTATTATATACATAATAGTAATAATAATATATAAATATAATATAGCAGCGGACGTGTCACGTGGTGCGACATTCTTTTCCTACAGCGCTACAATAAGCCATAAAGGTATATAGATATTTATTATGATAATATAGTATTATACGGCGGTAATCGAAAATATTTTCATTATTATTATTTCTTATAATAATACGTTTAAGTGTATGTTTTTTTACATTAGTCACACACATAGGTACACACGTGTACCCCGGATGATCAGAATTATTTCAGCTTAAAAAAATAGGGTGAAAATGTACATCAGCTATTCGATATCAACGATATTACTACAATGTTTGTAACACTGTATCACTTAGCTCGTATAGCTTATAGCCCGTATATTAAAATATATACGGTTGTAAAAGGTGAGAGGAGACGTGTTTTTTGAAAAATGCTGTGAGTCAACAATATTATGAACCTATGATATCTCTATATTACTCGAATTGTCAACGTGATGTTTCTAACTTAATTTCCGAAATTACGATGAAAGTACCATCATAGAGTCATAATAGAATAATATATTATAATATAGAGGCCCGCAAGATAGGGTTAATGAAAAAGGTTCCCACGTTAATAAGTGAAAGATTAAAGTATATTTATATCGAATTCTCAAATGGTGGCCATAATAGTACTTTTTTCGAGGAACAATATACATAATAATATTATTATTTAATTCATTTACACAAGTATACTTATTTATTTCATTAAAAAGTATAAAAATTTTAAAATATTATAACAAATGTAGCGATCTCCAATGCCCACAATTTAAAGGGTTATTTTAATAAAGAAATAAAATAATAATAATATAATCATTACTATTTAACTATACAAATGCTATATGTAGATTTTAGATTCTGAGTGGAACGATGAATGTATTGATTTAACAATGATGTGTGTTCTTTTTTTTTTGTGTCTGTCATCATGGTTTGGGGCAGTAAAACTGCTTCGATTTTCTTCAACAGTATTTTGTTCTATTGAAAAGTTAATCTAGTTGGTGTATTTGAAAGGTCAAATTTTAAAATTCCCAATAGTTTTCAAAAGCGCCGGGAAACACAACATAAAAATTAAGGAAAAACGGAAATTTTTACTCAAAATCGGTTTTCCAAAAAATTGATTTTGGTTTTTGGTGTAACTCTAAAACAAATGAACGTATATACTTGGAGTTTTCGTTGGTTGTTTATATTTCCATTCTAATTCTATACACAGTAAAATTTTCAAAATATTTTGATTTGTTATGAACTGTTTAGAAACATTTTCATTTTCCAATTTTATTAGTCTTTTTTTCTAAAAATATCAATAATATGTTATTTGTTGGTTAAAAAAGATTGAAAATTTAATAGAAGGCTCCTATAGTTACGGATGCCCAAATCGAAAATTCTGCCAAAAACAAACATACACATACATGCTAATAACCTAGTAGTTGAAGCCTTAACCCTAATAAAAAAAAAAATATATGTGTTACTGTCTTAAAAACAAACCCACGACAATGCACAATAGTATTTGATATTTAATATTTTTATAATTTATGTTATAATAGAATTGTAAACAACAGACAAACTGTATATTTTGATATAATCAATGTTTATATTAGCCATTAAGCATTATAGGTAGGTAGGTATGTTATCATGGTTAACCATTAATCACGAGTAGGTATATATACCGTATAAATGGTGTATTTACCCTCAATTAAACTTAAAATTTCAAGATCGCGAGAATTCAGTGAAAACATTTTAGCAATCGACAATTCAGAGCATGCATAAGACATTTCAGCGTATAAGTACTTAATATTATAGATCTAAAGCATTATTACCTATAGAATTGCGACCAATAGTCGATTATAATAAAATTGTTTGTTAATTGATAAAACCACCCCGGATATAGGATGTTTCAGTATTTATATATTATGGTTCATCACTTCATCATGGTATGTATACCACCAAATAATAAGATTCTATGATAAAGAAGTGCTTTTTAAATATTATCTATATGTTTTTATTTACTTCTATATAATTATTAATTACTATTAATAATCTGCGATATTAGTTTACAATACTTACAATTGATTATTATGTAGGAAGTGTATTACGTGCGATAGCGCTTAAGTGAGAGAATTACCCGTTGGTCATACTACATACCATGAACAAAATTTTACATATTAATTTATTATAGGCAATAAAATTATTTAATTTTTGTATTTTACAGTTTCACTGCAGTTGAACACTGAGTAATAATACTATTTGGTTACAAGGCTAAATTAAAAAAAAAAAAATTAAATATTATAAATTTTGCAATGATATAAAAAAATTGATACCTACTTTCATGGATACAAATTTATCTATAAACAATGTGATATTTTATTTTTTTAATATGATAGTTTTCTACCTACTTGATCAAACGTACTTTGCCCATAAAATGTATTCATTACAATTTGCTACTCTGACATGATGTTAAAAGACTGAAATTATCGTGACGTCGAGTGGTATATAGGTACGTGTGTTATGACAGCCAAATGTATTTATTATTATAAAGATACCTACTCATATTAAAGTCAATCATGTAGCACAATGAATACGAAATATAATTTATGTATTATTAAAACTTAACCCGAAAACAACCTAACCCAAGGTCCATCACTCTGTATTCAAGACATTTTGTTCGTCATAGTTAATAATATATACTGTTCTATATCATTTGAAACACCAAGTGCTCCACGAGGATTTCCGATACATATTATGTACAATAAGTGGCGATGTCATCACTCACTCCCGTACAGTAATTGTAAGTTAATAGATCTATATGATTCGTCCTACATACTATAATATGTAATGGCATGATATTATATATTATTATGTACAATATCACCGGTACGATGAATGGTACATTCATAGTTCATACCATCAATTTATATCAGACTGCTCGATTTAATATATTATACCTATACCAACTAAACGTGTACGCATAAATCGCAATAACAGCGTCGTATAATATAATAATAATATAATATAGATACGATATATTGTATTGTGTATGGCAGTTGTTGGGGTGGTCATCGCTTAATGCGTTTTATAAATAGTAAAATTATATTGACGTCTATGATGATAATATTATATGGGTATATATCATCATGAAGGGAAATACGAAATACGTGTACTTGTAGGTATACCATATACCTAGTATGGACGGGACATAATATTATATATGCGTATTGAATTACACGGGCGACCGTTTTGTATGTGTTTAGCTGCCGATGAGTTATTTTACCGTGAAATGGATATTTGATTGCGTAAAGTCCGACCCTCTGTGTAGGGATATACAATATACACAACAGATATATGTAGGTTATACATAATATACTATAATATGTGTTATGTATATTATTATAATAGGCAGCGTGCGACTAGAGGATAAGACTATAAGAGCATAATAGGACTATAATAAAAATTATAGGATATAGTACCTATACAATATATACGGTTATACATTGCAATCCCCTTCTCTTTATCCACAGAAACAGTTACGTTTAACTCTATATTTTGTAATTAAGAGTAACAGCATTATAATAAATGATTGCATAATCGTATAATTTTCACGGTTTTTTCTCTTTTTTTAAACGACCAAATATTTTGTTAAAGAGGATTTATAAACGACCTCTTTGATATAGATCCAAAAATGTACCTTATGGGAATTTTTAAAATTAAAAAAAAAACTATAAAAACCGTGAAGAATGGTAAAAATAAACTATGAAACTTCCACGGAGGTAATTCGTTTTAAACATAAACTATTGTTCATACATCTTACCATGCGGTAATTTCAAAGAAAATATTCTAGAGACTTCTAAAGTTGAAGGATTATTATTCATTTTAACCTTTATCCCTTTAAATTATAAAGATCCTGCAGATACATCTATATGTAACCACTATAATAATTATCTTAAAGTATTAAAAATCTATATAATCAACTATTTTATTTTATTTTTTTTAAATTCATCTTTTGTACACAATATGTATAGGTACTGCTTGAATATATTAAATCCCTTTCGTTAGTCAACACATATCACATACAATATATTATGCATGCAATTGCAGCACCGCTCCCCCCCCTGGCATTGTATAATTTTATATATAAAATATAATAATTAATACCTAACTACATAATATTATTGAGCCTAGAACGATGTTAACTTGGTACGTGGGTATTACGTATTTTAGTCGTATCGTGACAACCAGTGGCGGATTTAACGTTCATTTTTCGTTAATACCGACGGAGCCTCCCACTGTATTTTTTTCTATGGCCAACCTACATTACAGCGTTTTGCAATTTGCGATACAGGTTAAAAATCACTGGCATTTTAATAAATTATTAAAAGTACAATAGCTAGTAGTATAATACTATATACCATAATATTTCTAATTTTTAAACAATAAACACTTACCAGCTGGTTTAGGAACATTTCGTTTGACTTGCATCCACTTGTAAGTGGGCACCGCCGTCTGGACGGCCGATGAAGCTGGGACGGTGGCGGCTCCGTGCTTTTGCTGGGCACCACTGTTTGACCGGCTACAATGTTGCTGCTGTTGTGGTTGGTGATGGTGGTGTTGGTGATGCTGCTGCTGCTGCTGCTGCTGTTGGTGATGGAGGTGGTGGTGATGTTGCTGCTGCTGTTGGACGTGTTGCTGCGGTTGACCGGCGATCATCGAAGTGCGGTACGCGGACGCATCGTCACTGTACGGCGACGTACCGTCTCGGCCGCCGTAACACTGGCCGCCGGAGGACGCTTCCTGCTTGATGACACGTGGACACCGGTCGTCACCGGGTGTTGGGGTGGGCTGCAGCTGTAGCGGGGACGCAGCCACGGTGACCGTGGTCTGAGCGGACGACTGCACCGGTGGCGGCGGAGGTTGCGCGGACGGCGGCCGCGGCTGCTGCACCGCTTGTCGTCCGGCGGCCGAGTGTTCGTTGTTGTGGTTCAGGTGCATGTTGAAGAACGCATTGTCCACGGACGCACCACCGCCACCACAATACGACTCGTTACGGACGGCGTTGTCGTCCCGATGATGACCCCCGTAACCGTTGTAACCGCCGCCGCCGGCGCCGTCGTCCGAATACGCGCCGTAGTCTTGGCCATGCACAGCGGAAGCGATGCCATTACAGTCCAAATTTGTGTAACTCAGACCGTCGGACGACGTAATGATGACGGCCGCTTCGGCTGACTGCAGCGGGTGTTGGTGATTGTGATGACCGTGCTGGTGGTGGTGCTGATGGTGATGGTGGTGGTGTTGGTGATGAGCATGGTAACTGCCACCGCCGACGTCGACCGCCAGCTGATCGTAGGCACCGTCACCGCCGCCACCGCCGTAATACGACCGGTAATCGGCCGCCGACGAGTTCTTCTCGTAGTAAACGCCACATTCGGCCGCGTACGCCGGTTCTAGCGGTGGCCGGCCGCCCAGACACTGCGGCAGGTCGTAGTCGGCCACCAGTCCGCTGGCACCTCCGTAATAATCGTCGGCAGTGGTCGGCGTGTGGGTGGCGTACGACATCATGTCGCCACTGCCACTGACGCCGACGCTGCCGTTGACCACACCGCCGCCGCACGTGTTGTTGTGCATTCCCATGTTTGTCGTCTGCGAACGTATACAACCGCGAGTATAATAATATGATAATAATAATAATAGAGTCGTTAAATATTAAAGTGTATTGTCTAATCATTAGGGATGACGTTATGAGTGCCTGTGATTTAAATGCTGCACTTAGAAAAATGTTTTCACTGTGGTAGATATTATAATAATAACTATCAGGTTTACGAGATGCTCGTTTTGGCACAGACCTGTTCCATGTCTAATTAAACAGATAAATACCTATACCGAATTTTATTTTTCACTATTTGTAATTTGTACCTATAGTTTTTTAATTTTTATGAATTTTAGTTCATTTTATACATAAATTTACATTTTACTCCAAGATTATAATATTATAATGACATTTTATTGTATAGGTACTAAATTCTAATACTATTATTACGTGTATTTTATATTTCTATATGCCTCATGAATTCTCTTATGACCACTGAACATTAGGAGGGGGACTTTAGGGCTAAGACCCCCAAAAATGTCCATAGCCCCCCTAAACATTTCCTACATTTTGTTTTAAGCTTATTCAATACTACCAAAGTAAAGCTATAGCCCCCCCCCCCTAATCCCAAACACTATTTGAGCCTATGCGGCACTGAATATAAATAAACCAGAAATCCTAAAATCTTGCACACCCGGAAAAAAAACTGAAATGACGCCCCTGAATATAACACCATAAGATTATCATAATATTATTAAATAATTAAAATTAATATGTTTTTATGTAAACATTTCATATAAATTGCATCTAATATATTTTTAGTTTAGTACTTTTAATAATTTCATAATTTTGAATCATTAGAGCATTAATGTAATTTGTATACAGAATTTTCTTAGTTTTATTTTGAAATTCGTATTTATAGTAATATTGTTGTTACAGTATGTCCCTATATCCCTGCCCCGTATTATTATCACCTACAACAGTAATCTCTCTTCAAAGTAAATTCTAAAATCCTTTTAACATTTTCAAAACTAAAATGTAAATATTGTTTGAAACAAAAAATAAATTACATTTTTATTTTATTTAAAAATGTATTATGTCATTCAAACGTCGTAATTCTAAAGTTCATCCAATATGATTATTCTTAAATCCATCTGTTCGTAAAAATATATTATGTATCATCTAACAGATTGTTGAAATAAAATATTAATGTAAAAAAAAATATATATGCCATTATAATAATTATGAATTCATATTTTTGTTTTTGTATACATTTTAAATTTTTTTTATGTTGTGTAATTATGTTAGGAAAATGAATCAAATATATTTTTAATTTAAGTAAGGGAATGAAATCCAAGTAATTAAATGATAATCTAACTTGTCAAGTTTCAACACAGTACCTATTAATTTATAATTTGTTATTTCATTAAAGTTTTAATTTGAAAAATTAACAAGTGAATGTTTGTTAAGTTTTTTTATCGATTATTTTGCTGCATTTAAACATGACATCTTAATTTATACGTAGTTAATTTATGCGTCTAGTGTCTACATTAAACATATTAATTTAATCAGCTGCAGCTGTCTAAAACGATCGATATAAATATATATAGGGCTATAAAAAGGGTGAATATTGTTTTGGTTTTTAATTATTAATAGTATAATAAATTGTTGTTGGTATATACCTACTACCCACATATATCATAATATTATAAATAATATTATACACTATACAAGCCACATATCGTTAATTGTTAGCTTTTCTTTATTTTATATATTCCATATTATACTATAATATAAATTTGTTTCAATTAATTTATGTTGTCTCTTAGTTGTAAAACTAATTTATTCAAATATCTTATAAATAGATACCTACTATCAATATAAATCAGCTATCATATATATTAATAAATCACATAGCATTACATTTATTAATATAATGAAGCATTCAAATTAGAACCTAGTACCTACTACTTAGAACCTATATACCTACTTTCTTTTTTTTTTTAAAATTAATTATTATACTAAGTAAACCTTATTTTCGCAAATTTATGATAATTAACCTACGCATGTTAAACTCAACAAGTATAAGTGCTTAGCGTATTGCAACCTTTCTATATATATATGATATATATAAACTAAAAAATAATATATTATCATTACATTGCGTAGTAAAAAAAAATCAATAATAGGTGTAACTCACGGTGGTAGCGGGTTGCAATGATTTTAACTTTAATTTTAAATTTTAAAATAGATATATAATAATATTGGGACTGTTAATATTTTATAAACTTTAAACATGTCTTTAATATACCTTGAACATTTCTCAATTATGAGATTGACATTTAGTTATACATAATATTATAATATAGGTACTATAGGTAGGTAGCTAATAACAATAATATTATTACGTACCTATATATAGATGTGATTTATATTTTCGACTACTACAGGTGTTGTTTGAGTAATAGAATAATATAGAAAGACGTGTAAACACACATTTTCGTGTACATTTAGAGAAAAATTTACTATTCTAACAAATGTCAGATTTTCCGTGTGAATAGAATGAAATTGACTGTAACTGAATTACAATATACCTTTTTGAAGTTGATGTATCCAGGTGATGTTTATCTGTTATCTGGAATGCGACAAATATTGAACCAAGTATATAATATAAGATAACGTCTGTTTCTTTTCAAGTTTTGACAGTTTTTGGTAAACTTTTTTAATAGAAAAGTTTGGTTGTAAAACATGCTTGCAAGACTAATGGAACAAGTGAAATTTTGATTTATTTTTAAAGGAAAAAATAATAAAGGTATCCATATTTTTTTCAATCCATTTTCACACCAATGTACCATTATATATATAGTATAATATGAATTTTGTAGTTAAATATAGTGCATGACAGTAAGCTTGTATACGTAAAAAACATTGTTATAACATTTTTGTTACGCTACACCATAGGTATACCTATATATTATGATTTATGTGTGTTTTACTCAATTTTTTTTTTTTTTTGTAAAATCTGTACTAACCAACTGAACGGATTAATATTTAAGATATTACATAGAATATATTATACAGTAGATTTCGCTTATAACCTAGCTATCTTCGAGGGAAATGTAGAGAATCAGATTGTTTTATAAGATCGTGGTTAGGTATATATCCATAATGACAAAAACAAACTGTACTTGAGATCATATAGGTGCAACTAGACCTATACTTTGGGGTGTGCAAAAATTATAAAGAATTTCCAGATCTCCAAACTCTTTACACTAGACTTAATATTCACAACAATTTCAAATGTATATTTTTGTACTTAATTTTAAAATTTTTAATATGAATAAGTGTGAAACAGTAACAGATTAAGAAAAGAAAATTGTCACAACTTTATTTACATGATCTTCCTGTCCAGTAAATTAGATATATATAAATAATTTCTTTTTCAGACTTCATTTCAAATCTATAATGTCATTTCAATTATTTTTATTCAAAAGAGGACTTTTTAACTCGGGCTGATTTGAACTAGAAGTAGAACAGCTTGAAAATGGAAAATCTTCTAGATCGTTAATTTCGTGTTAGGTACTTTTTTGTTTTTTTTTTTTTTAATTCTATAGGTACTATATATTACATCTTATTATTTGTTTAATATTATTAATTATTATAGAATATTAGTAGTAACAAAAAAATTGAAATATTTGATAATGATAAAAAAACCATTAAAAATTGTTAAGCACAAATTAACATTTTAACTGCTTAATTGTTTTTTCATGTTATAAGAAATCATCAACAAAGAAACAATGTAAATGTGCTCTCGTTCAAAAAAATTGTCGTAACTCTGTAGTGTTCAAAGGTATTTTGTCAATTTATAATATAATATTATTATGAATATTGTTACACAAATATGAAATAAGTAAATAATGATAATTATTACATATATGTGACCTGTTCTAGCTTAAGATTATTTCATAATACTGCCACCTGGTTCCAACCACTTGGCTATCTATTGGTTACCATTAGTACCTAACTGTAGGTATAATGTTCAATATACTTCGATCTGATTACTAGTATAAAATAGTATATTATTAAGTTTTTGGTTGTACCTGATAGATAATAGGTCTGTTCATCGATAACATCACTTCGTCCTGCAGTGGCGACAGGGTAGGTGCATACCACCGTAGCGGGCGCGCACGCAAAACTCGTAGGCAAAAAAACAAAAATATATAAACCCGAAACTCGTGGCACTCGGAGGCTCGAAGACTTAACAGACCGAACGCGTGGTCGTAACGACGGCAATATAGCACTACAGCGGCTCTAAAACAATACTAATAATATTGTTACTGCGCGGTCAGTCGGTATAATATATTATAATATACAGCGTACGGCCGGGCGGTACGTGCCTAACTGGACGTCGACGGTATATCGCGCACTACCGCGGTACACAACTGCTCGACGGTTACCCACACCAATCCGTATTATAATACACTCCGCGATATATCGTCATACTACTGGTTGCGCGCGCGGTTACCTCCTTCGTAGGGCGCTCGTGTGTATCGTTATCGTGGTCGTCGTCGTCGTTGTTTTCGGCGATCCACGGACAGGGTGGAGTCCGGCCGCGGCGTGCAGTACGGCGACACCCATCGGGTACGGCCGGGCCAATGGCCGCGCACCACCCGGTCCACGTGGCCGCAGCATCCCGTGGCTGGGCGGGAGCCACCGCCGCCGCCGGTGATCGATTGTGTGCCGGCCGCCGATTCCAGGCCAATGGGCGGGTGGAGCGGACGCGTCACCCTCCGTCGCGGCCTAGGTGTCGTATATTATCCTATTGTTGTTGTTGTTCTTGTTGTTCTTGTGCTTGTCGTTGTCGTCGATGTTATTGTGTTATTGTTGTTGTTGCCTCCGCCACTGCCGCGTATGACCCACTTTACGCTGCGCGTCTTTTGTCAAAAGCGGTTGGGCTCACTCTCGGCCACCGGTCGGATGACGCTTTTCGTCACCATGTATAATTTTTATATTGTACTCAGTATAATATATTATAAATATATAATATAATAGACTATAGTGTGTGATTGGGGTACCTATATGCTTTGGATATTATTATATATTATATTATATAGATATTATTATTATTATTATTATATATGATATTATTTTGTCAATTTACGTTTCATTATATTTTTCCTCCAAAATATTTAACTTTAACGTTAGAATAGGTACATACACAATATATACGTATTGTCCTTACATCATGCTTTATCATATTATGTGCCAATCTCATATATATAGTCCTACTATTTATAGTCGTATATAAAAAGGAACTGGCGATTTTTATGCTTTGATTTTCCCACAAGGCTGCAATAGAATATTTGTACGATCTTTTTTTCACAGAATTTATCTAAATACAAACCAAATATTGTTAATAATTTTTACTCTGAGGATGAAATCACATGGAAATGTAACAAATAAAATTGCATAATATAGGTACTAACTACTAAGTATTTTATAATTGTTATCAGAAATTAGTGTGTTACTAGAATTAATAGTTACTTTTATAAAATGCTAAGGAATATATGCATACTGCATAGCAGAATTTTTAACATTTCTGTTTTATTTACCGGATTTTTTTCTACTATATTTATGCTTTATGATGGCATACCTATATTTACAATTTATATCCAATTATTAATTAATAATATAATAATAAATACAATGTTTTCGGAAAAAATGTATCCACCTACCGTATTATTACTAACAATTAAATAAATTACTATAATAAAGCAATTAGCAATATACATTTATCATTAAATATGCTTAGACATATAGGATGGCATACCGTATTTGCTCAGAATCGTTTTTGTATGTTATGATTTATCATTGAACTCAAATTTAACACATAGGTACATACTACATAACTACAACTTACTAACTAGCGAAGTACGCACTTGACATCTACGGTGCAGCAGAGCGCTTACTTATAACATTCCTACTTTTTAACTACTATTTTGTAAATAATTTAAATTTAGTTGACAATTTGCTTAAACAAATAGCTTTCGCTGATGTTTAATATTAGGACATGTATACTAAAAAAATCCGTATCTGCAGAGTTAACTAAATGTATTAATATATTTTAACAATATTAATATAGAGCAACCCATATGAGACATACGCATATAGATCAGAATCAGTATTTTTTATCTGAAATTCCAAAATCCATGTATGGCAGTAAAAAACATATTATCATTTGCAGATTATTAATTAAACTTTATACTTGATATCTATACATAATGCGATCACAATGTATTTATGTATAATTGTGTAAATAAACGAGTAATTCCTAATTATTACTGTTCTTTGTGGCTTACAATAGAATACCTATATATACTCTAGTTTCTAATACTATTAATATTATATAATAAATTAATAAAAAAATGTATTATATATTTTTTTTCCTATATAACTATTATATATAAGTAATAACCTGGTATAAAACCATTAGTTTCGACAATAATAGTTTTAAATATAATCAAATTAATGTATATTAAGCTATTAAATTAAGAAAACGTTTTGAACCCATCGTGATGGAGTAGATTAAATGTGGACAAAATAACAAAGTGAGAATTGGAGAAAAGGATGGACTAATTAGCTGGGATATTTAAAGAATTAATTCAAGCGAGAAAATTTTGAGTGGGAAGAAAATAAATATACAGTTAAAAAGAATATGTGGGATGTCGCAGATGGATGGGTAAAAAATTAATCCAAGTACTTAGTACATGAATACATAATAATATGTATACATATTGTAACCACCAATAAATGTTAAATTATTTATTTTAATTAATATCCCTGTACCTACCTAGTACCTATACCTATACCTATATATATTTACTTAATAACTAATAAGTATAGTTGTATTATTTTTTTTTTTTTTTAATATTTTTTACTTACACAAAGTTGAGAAAGTGAGGAACTATACTTGTTATTATATAATATATACCTACCACCATAAATAGACAATAACATTACCTATGTCGAATGGCGATACGTCAAGTATATATTAATATGTATTATATGTTATACAAAAACGAGGCATGCATATATATTATATAATATACAATAACAATATATAGATACAGTATTATTTATTAAATATATTCCTATAATCTATATAGATTATGTAGGAAATTAGAAAAAAAGACTGTGTCACGATATAAACTCAGATCGTGTTTCAGTTTATTTTACAAAACTGCGTGTTCGGAACGGTCTTTGTGGCTTAATAACACTGATAATTAAACACACCCCAGTTAGGAAAGTCATCGTCGAAAGCCAGCTATGGGACCGGGGCTTAATTAAGAGCGTTCGCGCCGAAGGGGTCTGACAGCCCAGAATCATAAATTAATGTAAGCCCACATTTTGTCATGACAAATTGGCTTGTCTTAAAGCTATACTATATACCTACTACATAGTACATATGTCATATTATATTATTATACACCATAGTCCATAGATTATAGGTACCTATATATTATTTGAAAGTTTATAGCGTCATGGATGGTGTCGATATTTTCCTCTCTATATACGGTTTAAAATATCTTATAGTTTCTACCGTTTATAACCATTAATCAGCATTTATTTAAATATGTAATATTATACACAACCACGCACACATACGATCACGTCGTAATTTACACTGGTTACAAAAAAAAAAAACCGAAAGTACCACATAGTCACGATTTTCACAAGACGCGTAAATTAATTTTCCACAAGCCTGTTGACGCGTTTGTTAATAATAAATAATAACCAATAAATATAATAATATAAAATAATAAAAACCAATGAAATAGGTACCAATGGGTACCAAATAGGTAACAATGTTACAAAAACGTTTATTTGTGTAAATCATAATTAAATAATGTTCTTGCAGTGGGAATAACAATCTTATATTTTATTTTATTTTTATAATTTATATACGCCAAAAGGCTTTTTACATAGGTACAAACAAAAATAACAATGTATGCAATTGTTAGGTAACAATTAAGATGTAAAAGATGATGATTAGATGATAAAAACATGTTTGATTAGTGCCAAAGATCAATATTATTATTAAAGTCTTGTAAATATTTTTTTTGTGAACATAAGTTCGAGGTTCTAAAACTCATATTGCTATACACTATTCTGTGAATCACAGAACATACCATAATGTTAGGCGCAACAAAACACGCGTCTGAGGAAACGCTTCGTCCTTTTCCATATTGTCTTAGGCCGTTCAGCCGCGGCCTCTTGTACTGCGGGTTCGGTTTCATCACAGCGGAGGTCTTCGGGTACGTCCGAATGTAGCTGCAAACTCGCGAAGTGTACCCTTGTTTGCCCGTCGGCTAACTCGGACGACTCGATGACCAAATCACGTGACGAACAAAACTGCACATGAATGTTTGGCATCGAACACACGTACAGCGTGTCAAAGGGTTCGCAAAACCGGGGCTTAACTGCAGCGGGGACGAGACTCGCGAGGGAGATGCCGACGCTGAACAGTCTGGCGGTGAAAACTCGGTCGGCGAAAACACGAAAAATGTCTTCGTCGTCAACGGACGTCATAATTGCCTGGTTCAGCAACGAAATGTAAAGCCAGGACGATTTCCGTCGGGCCACTCGACGGCTCGACCGAAACCCTTTGCCGTCCCGATTCGTTGGCAGGCAGCAGTGAGTCGGTCATCTCCGGCTCCTGTGTGGAAGCGGCATCACCCGAAGACGCAGTCTTAGCTGTACCTCTGTGGTCGGTATTGAACTATGCCGTCCCAACGCCGGGCCGGAGAACTGACCGCATCTTTCCGACGCGATTTCACCACAGTTTTTGAGTTTTCGGTCGATTCAGCGGATGGAGTTATAATTTCTACTTCAGACAACTTGACAGTAGCTTCTCTTTGATATTCGACATTTTCCTCAAGACTTTATTAATATAATATAAAATATATATTAACGAAAAAGTGTGCTATAAGTTTTGACGAAATATTTTACAATGAATATACGCGTAGGTACAGTGTTCGTTGTAACGATTCGTGCAATAATGAACTAAGACAAAGAAAATATTTATTCCAAACAGTATATTATAATTATTCATAATACCAACAATATTTTGAAAACTTTCGTCTCGGGAATAATATACATATATTTTAGTTTATTAATTATCATTAAAGTATGTTAAATTCAAATTTAAAAATAAAAATTAGGTGTGCCGAAAAATGAAGTAAGTTAAGAATAAGCTTGAGTGTGCTAAATTCCCGGTTTCTAAACGCGTATTATAATACAACCCATTAACTATTAAGCTTGTTTAATAATTCCATATTATATTATGTACAATTTAAATAAAATGTTATAACCTTTATGTTTTGGTACCTATTTGTTTAATATTGGCTAGAATGAATATATTATTATAACCGTTGTAAAAAATCTATAAGTAGTCGTATAGCCTATAGGTATACAAACAATCTTAACTGTAGACAAAAAATATACTTCGTAATACCACAACAATAGTATTTACTGGTAACTATAGGACGGCCACCCACACGGTCCCTCGTTTTTAACATGACATTACATTATGTTTATTGGATTTTCGTGTTATTCATACGCAATATAAATAATAAATATTGTCATATAAAGTGAAATATAATGAGTCTACATAAATTTGGCTATAGACGTGGATCTATAAAATGACATGAAAATACAAGTTATCAACCTAAAATAGTTTTATTACGAATCTGTCATTAATTTCAAACCGTGAAAGTAATCTGTTAACACTGATATCTAGTAAACACAAATATAAAGTATAAATATTATTATACATTTGTATTCTATATATAGGTAGGCCAACTCAACATCAAAAAGTTATAAATATGAACTTCACTTAGTTATATTTTTGTACAATAATAGGTAGTAGATATGAATAAATAATAATTCATATCACGATGAAAAAATACAAAATAATAATTATATTATATTACTATTTTAATATAAAAATGAAAAATAAATAATAAATAAGACACTTATCTGTTATGCATCATTCGTTAAACTTGATTATTATCATAAAATACATTTATTAGGTTTTCTCTGTATTGATGGGATTTTATGTAATATTTTAATAAGTTTGTTTTTAATTGATATTATGGTATAGTTTGTAGTTAGATAGGTTATAAACTTATTTATCATTAATTGAGATGGTTAATAATAATTAATAAACGATGGCGGGCGGCGGCGTTGCTGAAGTAATTCGCAAGAAGTTCCGGCAGCGTCTTCGATACCACAAAACGTTAGATACTATTACTTGATATTATTATACCTATATAGGTGTTAGAAATAATAAATAATATTGGCAATATTGCGGTATTACAATTTAATATAATCATAATATACTTAGAGCTTAGTCACAAAAACAGAGCCACAGAGGTTACAATTACAGTTAACAATTGTCAATTAATAATCAATGTTACTTAACAACAAAAAGTTCGCTCAATCATAGGGCTTAACGGCGGCACACGATGCTACTGCACCAGCATCAAGAATATAGGTACTACTAAACGAATAATTATAGTTATAATACACATAGAGCGCAGAGGCAATATTTTACAAAATATATTATACAACTTAATAATTAATTATAATAAAAATAAATATCAAGTACCTGTTCCTAAAGAAATAATTTTATCTATACATTTTAATGAACCTATATAAATAATATATAAATTTGCATAATTAAGTTAAATATGTATGCAATACTATAATAAACTAAGTTTAACCAACTATATGTTACTATTATATTCTCCCATATGTACCTATATTATACTTATAGATTTATAATTTATACATATACGAGATATATATAATAAATAAGAACTGTTATTTTTATATACAAACATTATTTTTGCTTCAGGATTATAATCGGTCGTGCCATATAGCATGACCACCAAATTTTGTATGTTTCACCCAAGGGATTTACCCCGCATAACTCGACAATACAAATAAGTATGCAATTCGACACGGTCCTGTCCAGGAGTTTGGGCGTTTTGTGGAGGGTAGTTTAACTGATGTGAGATGTGCACCCAAGGGACGAATATGTACCTTTTTAAACATTTTTTTAGCTCGTGATCATCTATTCATGGTTTTGGATAGTGAGATTTGTACCGATTGTGTTAAGTATAATACAAGTGTTTGTATTTGTATTTTAAAATATGCCCAAACCCATAGGTACTGTATGTTTGAAATTTCTGCGAGATGTGATCATATTTTTTTTACAATTTTATATTCTGCCAAATAAAAGTATACCTACCTAGTAAGTTTATAGTGAACAGCTCAAAATGGTGTTTCTCATGCTAATCCTAGAACAATAATCGATTGCACCTATTCGAATGATCAACATTTTCTGCACCTATTTATTTGTAACAATATTATATACCTAATATTTATAAATATAAATTATTATATAATATACTGGAGAATATAAATGAAAAATATTATATTTATCGTAGGTATAGATACTATAAGTTACCAGGTACTATAGCTCTCAAGCCATTAACTTATCTATAAACATAAAATATGTGTCTTAAATTACGTCAAAGTTGACTCAGCGGCAGCTGCACCAAAAGTAAATGTTTACCAAAATCATAAACAGTCAACAGACAAAGGGGAAATATTACGTCAGAGTTTAATTATTTTTGTTTCATCTGTTATAGACTTATTTTAGTTATTTACCTATATAATATCTACAAATATAATATATTTACTAAGCACCTATTAAATATACATTATACATATTCAAAATAATTTATATTATATTATAATATATAGTATAGTTAAACTATTTTATTATCTATTAATTTAATCAGTTTTTTAACTGTAGGCATTGTGTAATGCAGCGTTTCCCAAACCATGGGTCGCGAAATTTTTTTGATGGGTCGCGACTAGAGGTTAGGTACGGTTACAATTATTTTAGCCGTAAATTGATAAATGCTTATGTTATAATTCTATAATTCTATAATCTATATTCTATATTGTATTATAATAATGTGAAGTCTAACTAATATTGTAGAGTAAATTACGTAAAGTTATTACGATTATGGAATATTTCTTATCTTATCGGTAAAATATATGCTAATGACTAGTCGATGCGATCGGTCTGGGTCGTTTGTCCATAATCCATAATATGTAGTTGAGCAAAGAGCGGTACATCGAGACTACGAAAAGTTTAAGTTTACGATTCAACACGCATTTTTAACTATTTTAACAAATTTTTACGTAATGGATAAATTTATGATTCGTAAAACTACGACCTGCAGTGGTAAAAATGAAACTCTTGTAGATTTTTGGTGTGCAGTATATAATGAATATCCAGAACTTTCAATTAATGCAATAAAAAAACTATTACTTTTTCCTACCACTTATTTGTGCGAAAAAGGATTTTCTACCATGGCCAATATTAAAACAAAACAAAGAAACAGATTAGATATCACACATGACATGCGCATCAGTTTATCTGAAATTGTACCCCAATGGGAAATTTTATGCAACAGCATCCAGAATCAAAGTACACACTAAATTCAGCAATAAATATTCTATTATACTAATTTTTGTATTTTTTTATAATTTATTTTATTTATTTATTAAGTTATTATTGTTCAGTATGTTGTATTTTAATAAAAATCTTATTTATTTACAGTTTACTTTTTTTTTTTTTAGCTAGGGGTCGCGTACCCCATACAAATTTTGCCATTGCAAAAAGGTTGGGAAACGCTGGTGTAATGTATAATATATTATCTATACAACAAACATTCTGAATAGGAATAGAACTATAATAACCGAACTGACACCGGTCGAAAAGCATATTTTTTTTCTTAATAAATGGTAAATGTTGTAGTAATGCTTTATGATAAATATTAAATACCTAAAATAATATGTGAATAACAACAATAAAAAAAAAAAATAGAATCAATCGTAATTTCCGGTGTCCGCAATAACAGATATTATATTGTGCAATCCTACAGCGAGGTAGGACGTTAAACGTATTTGCCACGACTTTTTTTTCATGAAGACCTCTGACGAGTAGGAGGACATGAGAATAAAGAAACCGTCAATAATGTGTCATATAATATAAACTGTATATAATATAATATAATATAACAATTTCGATTTACCTTTATTATAATACACGTACCTACTTATATAGATGGCGAGGCCATTAAAAGAGTAAAAACCGCGATTACAATGATAATAATAATATTATAGTATAATAATATTAAATATATATGTGTCTCTTGGCACACGTTATTATACTATATACCAGGTGACTTGACAGCGCTCGTTCTGGTATAATACCACACGGACACTATATACATTATACATATATATATAGGTACGCCCGTTAGCCCAGCGTGCGTGTACGAATATATCTGTATTTTTAAACGTCTATTAGGACATGACATCCGAGACGCGTCTCTCACGATAGCGCAAGCAAGCCCTCCCACCGCGGGACGTCCTGAGAGAGTCTTGTTTTTACGCAAACACACACACTCACCGGTTTCCTCGTCGCACACATCATAATATTATAT